TGTCTTCCTTTCATCACATCTGAAGGATAGTTGGCAGATTTTCTCACCAAAGGCATTCCCAAGGCAAAACTTCAGCATGATACYRRCAAGCTTGGCATGATTGACATCTATGCTCAGCTTGAGGGGGAGTGTAGAGAAGATTGGCCGAATGGCCCATAGGCTGTTTATTCTTTCTTACTGTTTATGCTCCTTTCTGTAATGGGCCTTATTTTGGGCCCATCTTTCCTATGTTATGTTCTTTGTAATTTTTTGCCCAATTAAGGGCCCCCTTTGTAATTATTCAAATTTAACATAATAAAATAGTGTTAGGGTGTTAGAGTGAGAGCAGGTTCGAAACTCTCATACTCTAAACCCTCATTGCCACACTCTCAAAGTCTGGTTTTCTTCTAAGAGAAAATAAGAAAGAAAGAATACTATGGTAGTGTACAACAAGGATTATAGGACTAAGGTACAACGTCAAGATTCTTCACAATTTTCTAGTCTGTTGGTATGGCAGGAATATAGGCTTCTTAATCATTATTAAGGGTTAAAAGAATTTCAAGTATCTTGCTAAAGACTAAAACATATTAGAAATAGAATTTTGAAAAGTTGAAGTTGCAGTCTAATCACTTCTCTTCCACTCCAAGTGTGAGCTGAGCATGGTTTCTTCAAAAGCTTTTTTCAATTAGCAAATGACCCAGTAGCTCAGATGGTCACTTGGCGTCCCTCCAAATATGGAGGCATGGGATCAAACCCATGCAACTGCAGGCTATCCAAGATAAGATCAGTCAACATCACATGCATCCTGCTCTGTCCCCTCCCCTTAATCCTCTTGTAATGTGTACTATGTAATACCAAAAAAAAGTTTTTTCAATTACCTATTCAATGAGATCAAGAAGTGTTTCAAGACACATCACCTCTATTTATCCAGTTTTCCCCATATCCCCACTAAAGTATCTTTGATGTCATTAATAGAAAGTTATCACTCATCATGATTAAACACATAAAAAGGTGAGATCAACCTTAATAGGAGTATCAAGATATAACACCATTTAAAAGCATTTACAAGTATCTAGCTTCATGTATATGCATTTGACAAAACAATGGATGCAAATTTTGGATAACTATAATAACAAATAAGTCAAATGCATATGATAAATAATCCAGAATGAAGGAAAAATGGAGTTGTAACAAAATCGAGGATATACGCATGACACTTCAAATGAACAATTATAAACATTTATACAAGTTAATATAACAAAAGATATATCGCTTAGCATTACGGTGCAATCTCTGGCTGACAAGCATGACAATGTGGATTCTATTCTGCGAGAATCCAATTTGTGCAAAAATGCCAAAGGTTAGGTCTTTATCCAGTCTACTCCTCCCAAGACCCTGGATGGGCAGGACCATCATGGGGCAATGGTCCTTTATTGACATGGGAAATTAAGTACTAGCCCCTATGGTATTGAAAAGTACCAAAGGAAGCACTAGTCCATTAATTAGCAGAATTCCTATTTGAAGCTGATTGAGCTGCATTAATTGCTGTGCACTTGACAGGCATGGGTGTGTCGGTGTGCATCTGTGCAGTAGATTCTGAGAAAGGGGAACCGTCATAGAAATCTATATATTGTTTCTTCCTTGAATATGGATTGGGAGGAAGATGAAAAGTAAAAATAAAAAATCGGGAATTAAACAATAAGCAATAAGACATAACAACAAGAAGCCATCCACTTGCCTTGATCACAGAAAATCTGTCTGGTTTTACTTTAAACTCAGCAATTTTTTGAACTACAGTTTCTAACAAGATCCTCATTTTGTGATTATAACCCAACACAATCACCTAAAAATGAAAGCAAGAAAAGTTAGTAAAAAATGCAGATGCATTTACAAGAAAAATAAATAAATTGGCGTTGATAAAAAAACAGTAAATAAATTAGCAAAGCAGGTGGAAAAGGATAATGCTTAGAACATCAGTAAAATCATGATCCTACATCATCCTCAGCAAATCAACTTTTTTGGTGCAAATTTAGGAACATAAAGGCCTCCTAAGTTGATTTACCTACTACAATAAAAATTCTAAGATAAGACTTTCCAATAATGCTAACAAACATGGATGAACACTAGAATAAATATTTCCTGGAGAGAGAATATAAGGTGGAAACGTTGTCCAATGATCAAGAGAACAGCAAATTCTAATAGAAAGTGAAGGTGCTCAAGATCTGGAGGGGGACAAAAGAACCTTCTTTTCGCCCTTTGGATTTATTCTCACTTTTCTCCTTTGAGGACACATGGAGAAACTGGGAATCTGTTGCAAATTCTTCCTTAGTTAAGGACAAACCTGTTGTACACTGGAAGCCCCCAGAAGAAAGCTTCATAAAATTAAACTTTGATGGTAGCAGCCTTGGCAATCCTGTGTGTGAGGATATAGGGAACAGGAGGAAGCAAGAAAATTACAACTTCTAATAAAATGCTTGACACTGTAGATATACATTGCAAGGTATAGAGGAGAGGGGTGTATCACATCATTCTGACCTCTCATTTGATACTCCTTTTTGCGCATGCATACCTATACCATGACACTTGACATATACTTCTGTATTTTCCACAGTGCAGATCCTCAATGTACCTGGGACTCTTTTTTATGATTTAATACAAATCCTTGATCTCTTAAAAAAAAGAAAACACATATCAAGCTTAAAGACATAAACACCAAAACTTGTAATAAAACCCAATTCCAATCCCTCAAACTAACAGCCAAAAGATACCCTCCTAAAAATATAAACACCAAAACCAAATAAAGGCTGAAAATCAGATCAAACCCAGACCAACATCAACTCACTGAAACAACTTTTAAACTTCAAACATCATCTCATTTGACACACCATCAGATCAAACCAACATCAAACCCCAACCAACAAAAAAATATCTTTCTATAAAAACACTTGCTTCAGCTGTATTGTTGGCAGGTAGTAGCCATCCTTTCTACTTAAAATCAAATGTCAGTGCAGGATTAGATTCCTTTCCTAGTAGAAATCTCAAATTACACTATGATGGATGCTCCATTGAATACCCAAGCCTTTTAAGTTTGGGTGGTGCCTTTAGAAGTAGTAAAGGGAAGGTTAGCCATGGTTTTCTATTACAAAACAATTGGTCTTGGAGAATCAATTAGAGTTTAGATCTCAATGCAGGTGTAGGGTTTGAAGCTGAAGTTTACTTTTGACCATGATCAGATTGAGGTAGAGAGAGACTCACAAGTAACTAATGGGGCGCATGCATTACCATTTTGGAGGCCCTTGGGCTCTACCACATTTGATTAAAGAAGCTAAGTCTTTTGCTGTTAGACAGTGTATGCCCTTAGCTCTAATCAACTTGATGTACATTATGACATTTATTGTAAATGAATAAAGTACATATTTGATTCATGTTATTGTGGTATGTTTCTATGTGTTACCCTTAAACTGGACATATATGAGACTCGTGTTAGTTTAGAACCACAACTGTTGGATAGATCTGGGGAGATTTATCCTACCAAGGTTGAAACTGATGTACCGCCAAGTTGGTTGGGGTGGCTTGTCTCAACTGCCAGGGTGAGACCTGAGGTACATGCAATGTGGATTTTCTTGAAACCCTGAGTCGGACCAAATTCCAGTATTGCCCTGGACCTTGGAGACAAATGGGCAAAATTGGAATATTACACCTGACCCCTAGACTCGATTATGATACTGCACAAGGTGTCGGATTGGACTGTCTTTGATGTGCCAATCAGTGGGATCCTTAGAGGGGGTTAAAACCTGGGTATGTTGGGACAGTCCGAGAATTCATCTGAGTGGGTGATCATAGTGACAAGATCAGCCCCTTTGTCGAACAAAGTGAATGATCGGGAAAATGCACTCTCTGATGGAAACCTAAACTGCCAGCAGTGGATTTCAAAAGTGTTTGAAATTTGGTTTGGCAAAATATATTTATATAAAGATATACTTATATATTATGGTTTCACAAATTGTTTGCAAAAAGTTTTAATTCCCGGGATCCATGTGAGTAGAGAGTGCAACACTGTACCTTGTAGCCAAGGGAGAGGTCCTCTCTTGTCGGGCAGTGTTTGATCATTAAGAGCTGAGAGGTTAAGTGTAAGACCATTGAGGGTTATACCTGATGGGCTAATCTTGCATCTGCCCACAATCCTTGGGCCTTCATAAGATGGCAGGACCCAAGGACCATTTAGTGTAAATGTTGGGCCCATTAAGAGCCCATGGTGATGGACCCAGGGATTCACTGTATTTAATAGTGAATTCTGCTAGGCCTTGTAACAAAGGCTAGACTGAACCCATGTGGCTGATGTGTAGATCAATGATAGGGTCCCACGCCATACAAAGAGAGCCAAGCTAGCCAACATTAAAAGGAAGGGATCCTGAAAGCTTAATGAGCCTAAAGCCCATTTCAAACTGGGTTAATTGGATTAATTAAATTAAGGTGGATCTGGGTTTGGATCAACAGATAAGGAAAAGAAGATAACTTTTATCCACTTAAAGAGTCCAGATCCAAATAAAGATTTGGATCAGGGAACTCCTAATTTGATTAGGAATAAGTTGATCTTGAATTGCAGATAAGATAAGGGATTATCCTTATCACTTAAAGAGTTCAGATCCAAATAAAGATTTGGATTAAGAGACTCCTAATCAGATTTGGAGGTTGTCTCTTTAAGGCTATAAATAGAGAGCATGGCGGATCTGAAAAAGACACATAGACATTAGAAAAGACAACTCAGTTTGACTGGTTTTTGCCTTCAGTTCTTTTTCTCCCTGCTCTTGCCGCCCTACCCTGTTCGATCTCCAATTCTTGGAACTGATCAAGATTTGATCTTGATATTGTTTCTTGCTAAAAGAAAATTCTGAAGCTGTGCTCACTACCCCATTTGATTCTTGCTGAAGAATCAAAGGTTCTTGGTGAAGAACTACCTGCTGATCCTGCCTCATCCTAAGTTGTGTCATCTTCAGTGGAGGGAGGATTTGGTACACTTTTTAGGCGTGAACACCTGCGTTGGGAGGAGCTTTTTGCGTGGATTCCGTATCAGGTACATCCCCCCTAATCTTGGTTTCAGATTTGGTCCGGTTTGGTTACAAGAACGAACCTTGAAAATGTAGTTTTCTAAATTGGGAATATGATTCCCGGATGGGAGTAAAGAAATTTTTGAAATTTCGCCTAACCTTCCTACAGGGTTCAACCATCCATATGATGGATCTCCCATCCCTTCATTTGCATCCAGATTTCGAAGTCAACATGTCATTCTGCTGGGTCCCAAGGTTGACTAACTCTCTTGCTTTCAACCATGATGAGGTTGCAGAATACTTTGATAGGTTTGCTGTGGGGAATAGAGAACTCAATTGGGGTGTAATAATTCTGATCTATGTACCATTATACTTCTTATTTATGCTCTCTGTGTACGCTCTTAGTGGTTATGGGAGATCATCCTAGGAGGTCCTATTATTATGTAGATTGTTGCTTTCTCAACAGTCAGGCCTTTCTTTCTGGTTCAGGCTAATAATTATCTATTTTTACTTTACTAATAAAAATTCATGTTATTTGTCCCAATAAAATAAAATTGGCCAAAGATCTAACCATATTAGAATTCTAGTCAAAGTGTTAGAACCACTCAAGTACAAAACTTATTTAGACCATAAGAAACAAATTTGGGAAAAATAAAACAAAACAAGACAGTAAAAAATTTTGGAAATAATAACTACTCTGCCATTAAACACACGCATTCATCACACAAAATATAATCCGTATAGAATGTAAAAAATGAGTAACCTGGAAACCAGTATCTGTCGAGTTTATGGTATAGTGAAGACCAGCAACTTGAGCATCATAAGCTGAAAGATACAGAATAAAGTAAGATCTTTCCCTCAAGAAATTTAACTTAAAGGAGTGATTCAGACGGGTTCAAGAAAATCATTAAAATGAAAGAAAAGTAGCATGTATAATTTAGATATTAAGCTTTATGCAAGAGACAAAAAATAAAAAAATATTCACTTCCAGTGAAACAAAACATAGTGATGTTACCGAAATTCAGAAACAATGGCAGCCATGTAAAAACTTTTAATTTCATTTTATACACACTAAAAAGCTTACCATATTCATTCAAATAGTCCATTAACAGCTGCGTGAAGATATCAGTAAGAACTTCTGCCTCAGGAGAGTGGCTTGCATAGGGACAGTTGAAATCTATCTTAATATATGCCTTTGGGGTAAAGAACATTGTGTCAGGCTTATACCATAACCTTGAATAAGATGACTTCCTTAACAGAACCGGATATTTATCCTGATTGAAGGCCAGAAAAGAATCACGTCATTTGAAAAAAATACTTCTTAAATAAGAAGGTATACAAAGAAATGGTATGTGATGTTTTGACTGTACCTTCCTTTGCACATCTTTAAGTGACAAATCAGTGGGAATGAATACATTGGGTGCTGGTAGATGTAAACATCCATTAGGAGCTGTATCTATCCATTTCTGCAAAAGGTACAGAACATATGATGGACCATCAAGCTTCTCTGCATATTGTAATCAACCAGAACTGGACAGTGAGCATTAAGTCCAGAAAATGATTTGGGGTTTCCTTAAAGGTGCACACCCAACAACTTAGGTGCTCATCTAGGCAACTTAAAAGGAAAAACAATTGCTCTACATTATATTTTAGGGAAAATGAACAGAAAGGTATGACTTTAATTCCCTATGCTAACTAAGAATAATGCAGTGAATGCTTTGCATTAATTTTCCATATTTACAATATGTCCACTTAGTCCTAAATAAAGCATAAATCCCATTTTGTATTACTTGATATTTTATCGGTTAAGAAAAAAAAGAACGTTTCTTGATATTTTTCTTTGATAAGTATTAGAGTTCGGCCTGCCTGTTAGACTGATAACAGTCAAGGAAAAGAGAGAAGAGAGAAAGAGAGAAAGGAGAAGAGTAGAAGAGAAGACAAGGAGGAAAAGGTCTGGTTCGAATGTGAGAAAAATCAACCCTCCCATTCGGCCAGATTTATTTTATATTACTAAAATATTGTGGAAAAATCACATGTGCCCCTACTTAAGTTAGGGACATAGATCTAACATAAGCTTACACATCAACACCTAAACATAAGCACAAAGACATAAATACCCCTACATACTCGACACTAAAACTCCCCCTCAAGCTGGAGAGTATATATGATATTGTTTCGAATGCGCCCACAGTAACCCGAACCAGGAAGAGAAGGAAGAAGAAGAAAGAAAATAAGGGTCTGTCGAAATCTGATGGACTCCCCATACAGTCAACCCCCTTAATCTATATTAGATTCTAATGACCTTTACAAAGACTAAACTACCCTTACTTAAGTGTGGGGCAGAGTGTCTCAAATAAGACTGCAACATAAGCAAACTGCTTAACAAACATAAGACGACTAAACTACCCCTATTCGGCTCACTCTAACACTCCCCCTCAAGATGGAGAACATATGCCATATAATTCCAGCTTGTTACATAGATAGTTCACTTTTCCTGAGCTTAGAGCTTTTGTAAACAAATCTGCCCACTGATCATTCGAGCCCACATGTTCTGTATTTGTCTCTCCAGCAAGAACCTCCTCCCTCACAAAGTGGCAATCAACCTCTATGTGCTTTATTCTCTCATGAAAGACAGGGTTGGATGAGATATGGAGTGCAGCTTGATTGTCACATTACAATCTCATAGGTTTATCCATGGGAAACCCAATTTCTTGTAGGAGATTTCTCAACCACACTAATTCACAGGTAGTGTGTGTCATGGCCCTATACTCGGCTTCAGCATTGCTTCTGGCCACAACCGTCTGCTTTTTACTCTTCCATGTCACAAGATTTCCTCCAAGAAATGTGCAATAGCTTGAAGTAGATCTTCTGTCATTCACTGAGCCTGCCCGGTCTGCATCTGTATACCCAACTACTTCAAGTTTTCCTCCTGGTTTATACAATAGCCCACGGCCTGGAGCTCCTTTCAGATACCTTAAAATTCTAAGAACTGCATCCCAGTGAGGTATACGAGGGTTCTGCATGAATTGGCTCACCACACYGACTRYAAAGGAGATGTSGGGTCTYGTGATAGTCAGATAGTTCAGCTTTCCCACTAGTCGTCTATACCTTCCAAGATCTTCAAATACTTCTCCTATATCACTGCTCAACTTAACATTTGGTTCCAT